GATAGCAGTTTGTATTTCTCTGCTGATTAATGATGTTGAGCTTATGGATTTACCAGCTATTCACATAAAGTTTTCAGTGAGATATCTATTTAAATCTTTTTAATTGAGATAAATTGACAAATTAGTTTCAGATGTATAACATAATGATTCAATATTTGTACAGAAATTCTCACTATAATATGTCTAGTTAACATCATCATAAATTTTTTTCTCTTGATGAAAACTTTTGAGATCTACGCTTGTAAGAGGTTTCTAAATATGCATTATAGTATTACTGTTGCCTTTATGTTGTATAATACATCCCCAGACTTATATCTGGAAATTTGTACCATTTGATCCCTTTCACACATTTGGTCTGTCCCCTTCATACACACCCCTTACTCTGGCAATTACCAGTCTGTTCTCAATATCTATGAGTTTGGTGTTTTTGTTTTTTAGATTCCACATACAATAAATGGAATTAAATACCTGTTCAACTTCTTAATATTTCTCTTTTTCTTTGTGACTTATTTCACTGACATAATGCTCGCAAAACCTACATGGTCACAAATAACAAGATTTCATTTTTGAACTTGTGACTAAATAATATTCCATTGTGTGTTTCTTTGCATACGTATTTCTTTGTACATTTAGATATGTTAAAATTTACTTCTCTGTCCCTCCATTGATAGACACTTAGGTTATTTTCATATCTTGTCTATTATAAATATTGCTGCAGTAGACATGAGGATACATGTATTTCCCAAATTAATATTTTTATTTTCTTTGTATAAATACCCCAAAGTTGAACTGCTAGATCACATGGTATTTCTGTTTTTAATTTTTTGGTAGTTTTTTTAATGTATACAAGAGCTGGGGTACAATTGTGGAAGTAAAACAAAATATTTGGAGAATGGTGAAGAAATATTTAGGTATGGTAAATAATGCCACTGAGCACCAAAAACACTATTTTAAGTATAGATGTCAAAACTATATTTTTCTGTGCTATATTTAGGATCCTCTTATAACGAAACAAAAGTTGTTTTTACCAACAGATTTTTAAGCAGCAGGGACATGCTTTTTATTTACTGTTTTGATGTCTTTCCCTCATTTACATAAATACCCCAGAAACCAGCAGTTTAAAACTAATAAAAGCCAGGGCCCTCCATCAAGTGCAATAAAGTTTCACAACCATGAGTTAGACTGTTAGAGTGAAAAATAAACCTATATATACTGTTATGAAGGGTTTTTTTGGAAAGTGTATAATCACATTTCAAAGTTAGAACTTCGATTTGAAGTAGCAGTGTAATAATAATACTTAAACATTTATGTAGAACTCTTCATCTTTTAAACACTCCCAACATTGGTCAATTAATCTCAACTGCTTCCCCAAGGAGCAGGTATTACTATCTGCCATTTTTTCTGGTTAGAAATTTAAGGAAGGTATACCAGCCCAGAGAGAGGGAAGACTGGAGAGACAAATTTCTGGCTCCTATTTTTCTGTGATTCTTTGGGATGTAACCTTGAACAGAATGCATCAGGTTTCTGTTCCATGTTTTGCAATCATTAATAAAACAAAGGTATAAGTAGTAGCTTTTAGCTTTTAGAGATACTCCTTACCTCCCCCAGGTACATCTTTTGAAAGGAACAGGATACAGAAAAGATACAGGTTTTATCTGTATTGTGATAAATGGCATCAAACTTGCAGTGGGAGAAGTAAAGTTAAATGCTTGCTCCCTCTCTGCAACTTCCACCTTCACATTATCTTGGCAACTTAATTTATAGTTTTCTATAAATTAAGTAAGATTTACTATGATAAGATTTACTATGATAAGTACATTTAAAGATGAGTTAAACAAACTTGTTATGCACATTAAAGCCAGAGGAACAGTAAAATAAAACTAATGAACATTTACATTTTTGGAAATATAATTAATGTATGCTTGAGAAAATCTGAAAGATAAACATTTAAATGTTAAAATACTTATTACCTTCCCTACAGGGACAGTGTTGGGAATTAATGAGATAACAAATGGAAAGTGCTTTGAGCTCTTTAGAAGAAAGGTGCCAGTTGAATACAAATTATTAATTGTTAAAGCTATCAGATAGTTACTAATATATTATTTATGAAAAAATACATCTTTTTATACTTGAAAAATAGGATTCTCAGGATGATATTGCTGAAATAATGCTCCCCAAATTCCTCCATCTTATTGGAAGTCCTTTAACTTTCCCAAAATTCCTACAGTTTTCTTGACCTCATACCTGTCTTTAAACAAAAATCTGAGGCATGAAACCCCAGCCTCCAGACTTTCATGGGCCTTCACATTATCGGAAGTCCACCAAAGTCTTCTAGATCCATCACCCGGGAATTCCATGTTCTCTTCTGATCTCTTTGATCACATAAATGTAATGCCTTACAATGCTGTCAATTGTACAAGTTTATTTTATTAGCAGGAAGTGTATATATTTAAACTGTTCTTTGATACTTTAAGCAACATACTAGAATTTGTTATAAAAACACTATCGTGCATGATCTGGGATAAGTGAAACTGAACTTTCTACTTTACACAACATGCTAGAATTTGTGGTAAAAAGAGTACATGTCCCAAATTTCATTTATCTTGCACCTCACAAAATCTGTTTCCCTATACATAAAATGAGAAAAGCGGTAGTATTTACTTGCATGGGGTTGTTGGAAAGATGCCAACAATGTATTGGAAGCTTCTACACACCTAATCCATAATAAAAGATAAATGTAAGTAGATAATGCAAAGTGGCTAAGTGGATAATACACTTTGGCATTCAATATCTTCCTTTTTATTTCCTTAAAATCAGTATAAAGTAGGTATCACATAGAAGGAGATACTAATCATCATCCAAAAATGTATTACTAACCGGTTAGAACAATTTTCTCCTCAAACCTTGGCAAATGTTCAATACTAAACAATGGCCATTTCTCAAAGATAGTTTTATTGTTACATGAGTGCTTCCAACAACTTCAGGAAATGTGGCACATCATTTACAAAAATAAATAAAAACATATCAACAAAGATTTCTGCTTCCTATTTAGATTAGTAATAACTCAGTAATCAGTCTTGATTAATGTATATTTAGGAGACTTTCAGCTTTGGACACACATTAAGTGCTTTTTTTTCAAGCTTACCTTTGTTTATCATCAGTGTAGTCTTTACCTTTGCTACATATATGTTCTAAAATAGTGGCCTATGCTTCCTTTCAAATATCCTGTAATTAAAACATTTCACTAATTTAATATGGTCCTCTGCTTTTTCTATTTAATTAGGTAAAGTGATTTTTTTTATTGGAACAAATTTTTTCCTCTCCTTTTGGAACTAGGTAGGTTTTTAGGTAGAGAAACGGTTCCAGTCATTTTCTAGTGAGACCAAAATCTGAATATAATAAGGCCTGAAATTAGAAACAGGCATTCTGTTGTGTATGCTAATGTAGATACAAAGAAGGAAAATGCATTGTTTGATAAGCCAATTGTGTGGATTAAAAAAAGAAAAACAGGTACAGGAGAGTGAACTTGTTTTACTATTGCCAGCAGCTTGAGGCTCAACAGAGCTAATCAAAATTCACACACAAAACTTCCTGTTAGATTTAACAGTTTTGTACTGTTAAGAGGGGATTCTCACCATGTGAAAGATCTACTGCTGTGCTGAACAAAACAGAGACAGTTTTCTTTTAAAGTCCAGAGCAGATGAGAGCCATAAGGAGACAGAGGGTTTCATTTACTCTCAGGACACGATTGTGCCAGTGAACTAATGAGTCTCCTGGACCTTATGTTGCTCTGGCTTCAATTGAGGCGCGACTCTAATGGGCATGTAGTCCTTCCTATCCGTCAAGTGTCTGGACAATGAGCCTCTCATATGGATTAGAGCAATCTGGCAAGAAAAAGAGGTCATCGTGGTACCTAGCACAGGCAGGAAACCTGGCTAATTAATGTATTTTCAACTATAGCAAAACAAAAGCTGACATACAAAAATGTTAATTTTATTGCAGAAACTCTCAACTGTGGCTGAGGCATAGTTTAAAAATTGACATTCCATAAGGTAAAAAAATACCACTCCTGTGTGGCATAACATACATCTGAAGAGGTGTGAATTTATGCCCCTAAATCCTATAGTGTTAGAAACCAGTGTTACATCAATTAAAAGAATACCAATCCTTTCACCAACACACTCAAATATTTTTAGAGATAAAAGTCTTTAAAACAACATGTGATTGTGGTGTTGTGACTTCATATTTCACCCTTTGGCAAAGCTGGATGATGTGGAAATACTTTGGACAATTCAAAACAAATGCTGAGAGTATCAGCACCACATAATTTTTAACGTTTGCCCTTTAAAAGGTATTGTTGGTTTAAACTTAAGAAAATCCAACTGCTATGTTAACTGGAGAACTAGAGAATATAAAAATTTATTCAAGCTAGAGAGCTCTAGTTACTTTGTATCTGAAATTAAGAGCAGATACTGCCACCTAGATAAATTGTAGTGTTTTAGTTAACTAGATTCTGGCTGACCTTACTTTTTGAAAAATGGCAACAATAAACAATAGTGAAAATACAGTGAATGATAAGGCACTTTAAAAATTCATACAAATGTAATTTTATTGGGGAAAAAAAGAGACACGTGTATTTGCCAAGTAACAATTAAGCTTTTATTCAACTTTTTAAATGCAGAAGACAAATTACTACTAGAAATACAGGGGGGAAAATTCATAAAACAAAAACAAAAGTCTCCTAATCCTGAAGTTTATGAAGAAGGAGATGTGGAGCGATACCAGTACTTGTAACTTTTCTGTTTTATCAGATCATTTCTTCTTGAGTTTGAGAACAGTAAGAGATTGTTCAGCATTCTCAGATGAAAACACAAACAGGGTTTGGTTTAGTAAGTAGAATAAGGTTATGAACTTTAAAAAAAAAAAAGCATTACATTATGATCTGTTCTGATAAACTTCCTAGCAAGCTACCTTTCTTTCCCCTCCTTTTATTTCTAACAACATAAGGAATGTTGCCCTTTTTTGGCCCCAGATGTGAACCCAAAATCAGTAATGTATTCGGGAACGTTCATTTATCAGGCTTAGAGAGGTTTTTATCATCTTTGGACTGAAGTTCTTCAAATCTCATTTTGTTTTCCTGTGTTACTCCTAGAATGACTTCCATATCATCAATGATGGCCTGTAAGTGAACAATAAAAGCAGTGTTTATTATTTAAAGATCTCCTAGAACTGCTCATTTCAGTCCCTCAAGCCTTTGCTGTTTGCTTTTGGAGTTAATTGTAGTTAAGACCAATTCTACTCAAAGAATTTGCCAGCCAGCACCCATTTATAAATTGTTAGTTTTCAATGTTGATGAAATAAGTGAACTGAGAGTAAGGACTTGGGAAACTATAGAAATTTTTAAGTCATTAAATCTGGTAATGAAGGATATAGGCTTCTATTTTGTATTATCTCTTAATTTTTTTCATTTCACTCTATTAAGTTTATTTTCATGTATTATACAAAAGTATTGATTCATAATAGGTCAGAAAAACATTTTTTTTCACTCTTTCAGGTTTTATTTATTTTTTTATAATATAATAGTTTATTTTTACATCATTTTGTACATTTTTTTCCATCTTAATTGTAATTCCCGTGGGTTTCCCAACATATTTTTTACGATAAATAGTTTAAGAAGTGCTGGTGTAGTCACCCTAAAGAGGGCTAAGATGTTGTTGAGAGTATTTTCATTAGTTTCTGGGAGGGAAAATTGTATCTTTCCATTTAATGATTTCTAGTTAATTTTATTCAGGTAGAATTCACATATAATAATCATCCTTTAAAGTGTACAAATCAGTGGCTTTCAGTATATTCATAAGCAACCATTACCTTCCTGTAATTACAGAACATGTTCAGTCACTCCAAGTAGAAACAATACCCATTAGCAACCATTCCATACTTCCTCTCTGCCCTAGCTCCTGGCAACCAATAATGAACTTTTTGGCCTCTGGATTTACTAAAACTGAAGATGAAATCATATAAGATGGGCATTTTGTGTTTGGCTTCTTTTGCTTAGCATGTTTTTGAGGTTCAATCTATGTTACATCCTGGATCATAACCTCATTTCCTTTCTGTTACTGAATAATAATCATATCTCTTATCTGTATTCAGTTTGGTTGCTTGTGCTTTAGCTAACATAGCTGGGAGACCATTGCTAACCACAAAGTCATAAAGATTTATACCTATGTATTCTATTGTATGGATTAATATCCATATACTATAATGTAATTCATCCATTTATCAGTTGATGATCATTTGGGCTTTTATTTATTTTTTGACACTATGAAGAACACTTTTATAAACATTAACCATTTACATTTTTGTGTGCACATGTTTTCTTTTTAAGATTTTATTGATTTATGCATACAGAAATGAGGTATAGGCCAGAGGAGCAGGGGTTGCGATAGGATTCACCAGAGACAGAGTGGGGAGCAGAACAGGCAGATCGACAAAGTACACAGCTGAGGGGAGCAGTGGGAGAGACAGGAGAGGTCTGCTGACCATGTGGGTCACCTCCAGGACCGGCATCAAACTTGTACTGAAGTGACCACAGCTTGCCTTTGCTTCACAGTACAGCGTTCCAACCTGCTACACCACCAGGGAGGGCATGCACATATATTTTCATATGTACATATATAACTAGATATAGAACTGTTGGATCATCTGCCAATTTTATGTTGAACTTTTTTTAAAAAAAGATTTATTTATGCATACAGAATTGGGGTACAAGCCAGAGGTGCAGGGGCTGTGAGAGGAGTCACCAGAGAAAAAAAGGGGAGCAGAACAGGCAGATGGTCGAAGTATGCTGCTGAGGAAGCAGAGGGCTGTTCAGGAGAGGTCTGCTGTGCCATGTGGGTCACCTCTGGGGCAGGGGATGGAACTCACATTGAAGCGGCTATGCCTAACTTGCAGTGCTGCATCCTAACCTGTTGTGCCACCAGGGAGGGCCATGTTGAACTTTTTGAGGAGCTGATAAACTTTACACAGTGGTGATACCAGTTTTATAGTCTGACCAGCAATGTTTCAATTTCTCCATATTCTTTTTGACACTTTATTATCTGATTTTTTCAATTGTAGTTCTCTTCCGATATGTGAAATGGTATCTCATTGGGGGTTGATTTGCATTTTCTGATTAATAACGTTGAACATTTCTTCCTGTTCTTAATGGCCGTTTGTGTATGTTCTTTAAAGAGATGTCTATTAAAATCCTTTTCTCACTTTTTATTTGGACATTTCTTTCTACTGTTGAGTTGTAAGAGTATTTTATATACTGTGGACAGTACAACCTTATGAGATATATGATTTGCAAATATTTCCTCTCATTATTAGGGTTGTCATTTACTTTCTTGAGAGTATACAAAAGTTCTTGATTAAAAGTTCTTTAGGCCCTCCCTGGTGGCGCAGCGGGTTAAAGCACAGCACTGAGAAGCTAAAGCCACTTCCGCATGAGTTCGATTCCCGCCTGCCCCGGAG